GTGTCTCTACTTTAAAGAGTCCTCTCCTGCTGATGTTCAGGTGTATATCAGTATGTAGTGTCTCTACTTTAAAGAGTCCTCTCCTGCTGATGTTCAGGTGTATATCAGTATGTAGTGTCTCTACTTTAAAGAGTCCTCTCCTGCTGATGTTCAGGTGTATATCAGTATGTAGTGTCTCTACTTTAAAGAGTCCTCTCCTGCTGATGTTCAGGTGTATATCAGTATGTAGTGTCTCTACTTTAAAGAGTCCTCTCCTGCTGATGTTCAGGTGTATATCAGTATGTAGTGTCTCTACTTTAAAGAGTCCTCTCCTGCTGATGTTCAGGTGTATATCAGTATGTAGTGTCTCTACTTTAAAGAGTCCTCTCCTGCTGATGTTCAGGTGTATATCAGTATGTAGTGTCTCTACTTTAAAGAGTCCTCTCCTGCTGATGTTCAGGTGTATATCAGTATGTAGTGTCTCTACTTTAAAGAGTCCTCTCGTGCTGAATTTAGCTCTTGATTGTTCTCATACTGCCTGTGCTGCAGCACCTCTTTTCACCCTCTGTCTGAAACCAGAGCCCAGTCTGCTCTGATTGGTTAGCTGGCCGGCTCTGTTGTGATTGGTCAACAACTTAGAGATGTCCCGCCCCTTAGCCTACCATGTACAATGTTTTGGAGTGCTAGCCAATAGGAGCGTGAGTGTTACATAGTGATGTCATTATGTTCAGAAAGCAAACAAAGGAGCCTATAGAACACACTACAGGAAAGGGAGAACCCCAAAAAGCAGAATAAGACCTCTTTAAAAAATATAAATTCTTCTCTAACTTTTCTTCTGTCTTCAGTATTTCTCACATTGCAGTGTTTTGGATGATTGTAACCGTCACCTCTCTGTTTTCGTACCCAGGGCTCAGGCCCAGGACCTGGCTGTGGTGATTTCTCGGATGCAGGTAAATGCCGACCAAGTAGAGAAGAGCATCCTGGCTGCAGAGCATCATCTGGGCGTGGTAAGAGAGAGGTGTCATGTACACCTGCTGGGCACACTTCTTAAAATGGCTAATATTGTCTCATGCAAAGTTCCTTGTGATAAAAAAGATAGAATCAGACTCAAACAAAGCTCCTTTGATTCCCTCTTAGGACACAGAGCGCGATGAGAAGAAGCTGAAACTGTACCACCAGAGGGAGAACGCTGACACCCTGTCGCAGGCCGAGGGGCTCCTGAAGGACCTCTTCATGGACGTGGACAAAGCCAAGAGGCTGGGGCACCCGCAGGCCCACGAGATCGAGAAGGAGTGAGTTCATACCCAGAAACATGCAGGCAGTGCTGGAGGAAGCACTCTCACCTGTTACTCAAGTACAAGTAGAAATACAAAAAGGAGATGGAGGGAGATGTTTGAGGTTTTTTATCAACAAACAAAAAAACATTTTAAATTGTAAAAATAATTTCGAGCTTCACTAAAAAACATAAATGACTCAAAATTAGTCAAAAATAAATTCAAAACATATTTTAATAAGTCTACCAAAAACGAAATGTTATTCAAAATAAATAAATACAAATACTTAAATGGTCATAGATGCCAATTAATTTCTCTAAAACATTATTTAATCGTCTAATTGTTCAGATGTTATTGAATAAACAGTTGGTTAGTTTAATTTCTTACACAACATGATATTTGATCATCATATTATTCATTCAAAAATATTGCTTATTAAAGTAACTAGTGGCGCTATAGCTGTATGATGAATTAAGCGAAGTAAAAAGTATTGTGGATTAGTGAAGTGTTGAACTCACAGTTGAACTCAAGCACAGTACTTCCTTGTGTGTGTACTATTAAATTCCACTTCTGCATGCATGCCAACAGACGCACCTAAAACTCGTAATGTGTCACATGCCATCGAGACTTATAGCCACCTCAAATATTCATTTCCACATTCCCCTTTCTCTACCCTTCTACGCTTCATTGACTGAAATCTCTTTGTCTCTGGTTCCTCCTCCTGCAGCGTGAAAAACCTCCACGATCGCTGGGTGAAGGACTGTTCCATCTACAGGGAGCTGTACTCCCAGGTCAAAACTCTGGATCCCAAACAGAAGATCGACTGGGGGCCTCTGCTGGACGACAAAATGGTCAGTTAATCTTGGGTTTTGTTAACTGAACATCTGCATGACTGGTAAAGGTCACAGGTTGAAAACGGTCCTGTTTCTGTGATTTACAGAGACAGTTAAAGTCAGACGCGTACGGCCCAAAGCTGCCTGACGTGGAGAAGCAGATGGCAGAACATAACATCCTGCACCAGGAGATCGAGGCGTACAAAGACCAGCTGCAGCCCAGCAGCACCAGCTCCAAGGTAACAGCACACAACCAGAGAGGGGCCGACCTCCAGCAAACAGTGTTACATCACAATCAATACATACATATGGCAAAGAAACGTTTATGATACTTAGACGTTTAGTTCAGCAGGATAATCTCCACATATTAACACCACTTAATGGTTTGTGGAGTAAAAAGCTAATGTTGGGTTGAAAAGGAACTACAGCACGGTCACATGACTTCACGTCACCACCGCTAAGCTAAAGGTGGCTAATGTTGGGCTATAATGGAACTACAGCACGGTCACATGACTTCACGTCACCACCGCTAAGCTAAAGGAGGCTAATGTTGGGCTATAATGGAACTACAGCACGGTCACATGACTTCACGTCACCACCGCTAAGCTAAAGGTGGCTAATGTTGGGCTATAATGGAACTACAGCACGGTCACATGACTTCACGTCACCACCGCTAAGCTAAAGGAGGCTAATGTTGGGCGAGATGACGTGTAATCGTCTCGTTTAGACANTCACTTTTTTAAGAACAGTGAAGTTAAAATTAAACTTGCGTTGCCCCGTAAAGGGAACTTTTAACTTGGAATATTTTAAAACGTACTTTTGTGGAGGTAATACGGGGCAACGCAAGTTTAATTTTAACTTCACTGTTCTTAAAAAAGTGATATCAGTTTCCGTGCGTCTCTGTATAAAAGGCAGCTAGTGTTACGTTAATAATTGAAAGTTTGCATTATGCTTCATTTAAATAACCAGCAGATGTCGAGAAAGCTACTGGCGAAGTACCGAGAGGATGGGGACAGTCGTGATAATCAAACAAATTGCCTAAATCCTAGCTAGTGACTGTCATGGCGACGGGCTTCGGAGGGACTGTTAGCACAGCGAGCTACACTGTACACACAGCTAAGGACGGAGCATTGTCGTGTATTACATTTCAATGACACCCTCACGTCCTTGCACTAGCCATGTAAGCACACACAGCTAATCCCATGCAGGACTTACCTGAATCGGCATTTTGACAACCGGAGAAGTATGTAACAGCTTGACGCACTGGAGGACACGGGTGCTCTTGGTGATAGTGCGTGTGGTGAGAAGCATTACGGCTCGCTATTTAACCAGCTAGTCTTTAGTTGTTTCCTGTATGGAGTCCTGCGTATTGTCCCTGTGCTGCGTTCCTGCTGTCCGACAGACACACCTCAAGCTTTATGTCACTCAACCTTACCACACCGTTAACCTACAGCAGTGTCCCACATTGACTTTGGCTGTTGGGATTTAACCTAGTTTCCAGATTTGGGCCTGTTAAACCTTTATTTACATGGGCCATCTGCTAGCTAAATCCATGTATAATGTAAATGACTAATACATGTGGAGTAGTGTTGAAGAAGTACTAGAAACACAAGTTTAAATAGAAAATGCCATGGTGTAAATATCAAGACCTAAGTAAAAGTCTAGATTCCAGTATTGTCAGGAAAATGCACTGAAAGTATCCATGCAGAAAGTTAATAATGCTATATTATTCAGTTTTTATCACTAACACTAACACACATTAAAAAGCGATGTCATGTTGTCCAATGTGGAGCCAGTTTTAAATACTACAACTATAGACGAATAAGCAGTGTAGTAGGCCTACTGAATCATATTTGAGCGTCACATAAAATGTAGTGGAATACAACTTACACTATTTCCTATTGAATATTAGTGGAGTACAAGTATATCAAGTATTATAAAAAGCAAATATTTGAGTGAAGTACAAGTATTTCAAAGGTATTCTTATGTGTGGTAAATTAGTTAATTGCACCACTGTTGACATGTCATTTTAAATAAACAAATAATCTATCTATCCAGTAATTTAAATGAAATTTTATATATATTTTTTTTTCTCTTTTCAAAGTCCTATTTATTTACCTTAGCTTGAACACAGCACACAAGTCAGCAGTCCTACACAGACACACTTGACAGGATAATGTAGGTTAAAACGTCAAATGCCTTGCAAGAAGTTGCTTTAAAATGAATACACAAACACATGGAGCATGCTGGAGCTTTATGTGAAGTATGCTCCTCAACATCAATTAAGATTGTCCAAATGTGATATGTGCACTGCATGGTCAAAAATGTTTTAATTATGAAGTTGACAGTTTTAACAGTCATCACACTATCCCCCATCCAATACACACACAAACACCCATACATAAATACACACAGGGAGAGATGAGACCGATGATGTGTGGTGGTGGTGGTGGTGTGTCCATTTATTACACAACACAAAGCACCTACAATAATCCACTCCCCGTTGCGTCAGACAGTGGAAGATCTCACTTTTTTCACAGTGATTTGTATGTGGACATGTTTTAGACAAGGACATCAAACTGGTTTATCTAAATGAAAGGAAAAAAAAACTACACAGATATTCACAGCCAATATCACACACAAAAATAAAGCAGTGTCAACAAACGACAGTAAATTGAGTAAAAAATAGAATTTAATCATTTAAATAGTCTTTCAAAATACAAACATTGATTTGAACTTCTAAATAATATAACGTTTAATAGCTATGCTTCATTATAACTGGCAATGTTAAATGTACACTGTGGCTATACAAGGAAATGTGTGAGGTTTGGTAATTTATTGTATTGCTCATTTATATTTATGCGCACATATTTATTAAAACTACAAAGGACTTTAACATTTTAACAGTGACACTGCATATGACCCTGCCTTCACTCTAACCCTCCGTACCCAAGAAATATTCGTATGCCAATAAATAATCTATTATTGTATGTATGATTGAGTTTTTATCAGCTCTAATTTGACCCAGGCTTTTATTTTACATTGTTTGCTAGATGAACATGTAAGCTGTAACTTATGAACACCAAAACAAACCGGTAACTCAGTGTCCTTGCTTTAACACCCGTGTGTTAAAAGTAGAACTATTTACTGCCATTTATGAACTCCAGTGTTTTTGAACTGCATCATTATTCTTGTGAAACCGTACCAGCATCTAGTACCATGGGGCATCCTATAAAGCAAGATTAATGAGCCATTTACAACTTAAAGTTATAAAAACAAAGTAATAACCAATAGCAGGTGTTGTTTGCAATTCAAAGACATTCAATAAATCCAATGTTCAAATTTAAGATGACAAATCCAAAGATCAATAGTTATGTTAGTCTCCACAGTTATTTGGCCATCTGGCTTTACACTGCCTCCTGAGGTAGCCCTCTGTAGCCAGCCGCTAAATCTATAGAGCCATGTAAATTGATCCCTCAAATGACAATCAGCTTCAGAAAAAGCACAACTGCTTACGTTAAACAAAAACAATTCATATCATTCTGAATAGAATGCGTCATTTCAATACCAAACCCACAACAATGTCACAATGTAAATAAAATACCCTTAAATCCTAGAAAGGAAAATGTATGAAAAAAGCAAGTTTCAAGTCTTTACAAATGTTAGAACACTGTAAGCTCCACAAATATTTTGTAATGGGGGGAGGGTTCGGATCACATTTGCTGGCTTTATTATCTTCCACTATAAATTGCATGTTTGTTTCTTTAAATGGAACTGTACATGACTGAAAGATTAACGGCCCGTATGGCCACTAAATATCATATCTGATCTTGACATCAGATACTGTAGCTTTGCATTGCATGTGAAGCTTACTACAGTGATCACTTCTATTGTAGGTATACAAACTTGCTGATCAATGAGTAGGACTTTCAGGATGTTGCCCGACAACACCCAAAAGGAAGATGTTGCATATGTTGCGTTTCTTGTTGTCCTGAGCCCGTTGCGGGCACTTGCAAGTTAAAGTTGGAGCAATCTGTCATTGAAACAATGGAGATCTTTTATGCAACGTTCTTCATGACTGCAGAAAATGCAGCAACCTCTCATCATACACCAGGGTTAGTGTTAGAAGGTATAGCCCATAAATCAAATAGGTCAGACCATTATTTCTGAACAACACTGACGTCAGAAATGGTGGTTAGATCTAACGGAGGATTGTACATAAAAAAAAGCAGATGAGGCATATGCATTTCAGTTCTTAGCACTGTTGTTGCCACACTTTAATGTCAAAGAGTAGTGTCCTTCCCTGATCTCAGCTCATTGGTTTGGACTGCACACTAACGCACACGCTTGCTTGTGTCGAAGACAGTTTTTTTGTGTGCAGATTTACAAACAACACCGAATATATAACCTTCCACGCAAATCTTTCTGTGAGCGCACAACCTTCATATGCACTTCTCGTCCACTTCAAAACAATTGCACAACCTTTTATAAAGAAAGCTGCACCTACTCTGTACATCAGTGGTTCCCAAATCCAGCTTTTAACCCCCTACGTGCTTTGTTTCTTTAAAAAAAATGAGCACTTGGGGTCTGGAAAGTGGAGGACTACTGGTATACTCACATAACTACCATTTTATCCACATTTTAAATGTGACAAACAACAATCGAGTCATTATATTGCTTTAAACATATTGCAAGTAATTCCTATGAATTTGCCTACAACGGCACACTAAACTATATTAAATACAAGCACTCCATGTGCATGTCAATCTGCCCCTTTACTGGACCCTCAAAGTCTTTCGCCAGATATGTTGTTATGGCTTTCGTTGCATGTGACACGTTGCTTTATTTTGAAAGAGTTCAAAAGCAACATGTTAGCAGTCTGTTCTCGGATACCGTTCTGTTGTTCCCTCAGTGGTTATGCAAATGCAGATCGATGCTGTGATGGAACATAGCATGAAAATTGTTTTTCGTACTGAGGCATTCACATTAAATGTTTTCTCACTTTGATGTCGGAGCCTTTTACCAAAGTGTGGCAGTTACATCTCAGTCTTTATTCCCATTTAGGGACATGAGCTTTTTTATTTTCTCATTTGTTTCCTTTCTTCATGTAGTCTATGGGAAAAGGGAAAGAAAGGACCATTTCCCTCATTAAAAATTCTCTAATAAAATCTTCCTCACAAACCACTTGTCCACTGTTTAGGGCTAGATCTCTGTTGGGTCTTTCTCTGCATCCTATTCACTGCTGCTTGCCGCTCTAGGGAGAGTCCATCATGGCTTCCAGCATCTCCAGGAATAGTTTGTGCATGGGCACACCACCACGGGTCTTGAT